GCCAAATTAGCAAGAACTCTAGTGTACAACTATCTCGAGTTTCATCTAAATACGAATATCACATGCTGACAATGCTTGTCTTCAAAACTTCTAGTGCTGAAACTGGTCCATGGCGTCGGCGCTCGTGGTACGGAAACCAAGCATTTTCGTGTCAAATGAATGTGATTTTGTGCAACAAACTACTCCAAGCAGTGTTCAGACTTCGCGATCGCATTCGCATAAACGGTCCGATCGCTTGATTGGATCGTGCGATCACGACCGGAGCGCTCCACCGCCAAAGGTGCAAGAAGCAACAGCCCAATTTGTGTTCTGCGGTTGCGGCGGTGCACCGCTTTGCGGTGAATCACCTCTAATCGCGTCGTGCGATGCAACCGCGCGATCCGATCGCGAAGTCTGAACGCGGTCCGAGAGTTGTCTGGTGCATTGGACGCGGAAATTACATTTATTTGGCACGAAACTGCTTGGTTTCCATATTACGCGCGCCGGCGCCTTAGGCCTGTTTTAGCGCCAGAATTTTGCATGACACAACGTCAGGATGTCATGTTGTGTGCTGAAATTTAAATTAAAGATAGTTGTTCACTACGCTCGAGCGATCCGATCGTGAGTCTGAATATGACGCTTTGACGCTCGGATTTTTGAACAGAGTTCCCTCCAGCAAGAAACCCAAAGAAAACGCCCAGAGTGGGACAGTAGATTGGAACCACAATTCAAACACTACTCCAGCAAACTATGAGCTCTTTGACTGTTCCCAAGCAAGTAGTCATCTGACCCTATACTATACTACCTGTCACTATACGTACCTGGACATCAATGGCCAAATAAAACATGAACAGAAGCGAGGCCAGAGCAGCATACACCATGTAGATGAACTTCACTTTGAAGAAAATAGCCGAAATGATCGCAACCAAACCGAACACCATCAAGCACATCGACAAGATGAACATTATTCCCATCATGCTGAACGAGAAACCAGTTAAAATTAGATTTCGATTATTACCAGTTGATTTTTCGCTGGAACAAGAAACAGTAGCTACTTTGTCAAATCGTATTTGGTTTGCATTGAGAATATAATGATTGATCCACAGGAGATGGTGCAGATGATAAGTGTGAGAAGCACTGAGACGATATTGTGATGAGCGGTGATCATCATCGTCATGTAACCAACAGCCAGTGTCTGAACTTCCAATATGCGATGGATGCCACTTGAAATCTTAATCTCCAATAGAGTTAACTTACGAAAACTGCAGTCAAAATGATATTTGCTGGGAAGGACCGTCTCACTGACTCACAACACATCAACGAAAGGTAAACAGCAAAGAAAACACCACTGAAATAACTTCCTTAGTAGTTTTCTCTTAGAGTGCGCTCTTTCCCGTCAGCGCTTCGATCGCTTCGAGCGTACGGCAGCGTTTTGTGCGACTTGGGCAGAATAGATATTGATGTGGTGGTTTAAGCGACTGACTGCCAATAGCTCAAAACTACTCGCAAAACGCTCAAAATGCTACCGTACGCTTACGACTTACTATGCTGCCCAGTACATTCCCAAACTTCTCGAAACAAACAGCCTTGTATTCTCATCGAAGAATGGTATTGCTGTCATAATCGCTACTACACCGAGCTGTAAGAATTCAAAAGATTACAAAAAGGACTTCAGAGAAAATGAAATCACTAGGTTTTTATTACTATCTTCGTATCACCAAAGGAAAAAAAATCAAAGTGGATTCAAGTTAACGTACCATAATGGCCACCAAGAAAAACACCTTGCGCACGAATGCTGCTCGAATTGTTCGATCACTAAATAATACAATACAGATTATGAAGGAATTTTTTTGTAAAGCAAGCAAACTAAAGAACACTCTTAAAGACTCACCTGAACTGAAGATTATATTTATCGGGTTCACCACCCTCTGCATAATGAGGATTACCTCCCATGCCCATCATGGTTGGGTGCGGCATCGGTGGGGGCATGAACCCTGAAAAATGTTACCATTTAATGGTGCTTGTACAGTAAAAGGCATCAAAAATGTGAACCGTTGTTGATTCGGGCACTATGAGAAAGCGGTTCATCCTGACACCACAAGAGTATGGACGGAGAGCGGCGAAAGTCATATAGACGAGCGGGGAGGTGGGGATGGGGCATCAGCAGAGTTAAAAGAGGAGTTCTGCAAAGGGAAGTCACCCCTTGAGGGTGAGTATAGCATATTGTCCCCTCTGCCGTTGCGGCCGTGCACTGTAGAGGAGCGCCCGCGGTTGTGATCGCGCGATCCAACGCTCGCGCGATCGGATCGCGCGATTCAAACTTTGAATCGCGAAGTGGGAAGGCGTTCTCACTAACACAATGACAGCAACTCGCATAGTTTCTCAAACAATCATGAAGGCTTCAGAAATCTCTTGGAAGTCGGAAAGAGATGAATTTATCTTGAAATGAAAAAACTAATGTAGGGCAGAAGGCACGCAGATCAAGAGTATCAAATGAACG